AACACAAATAATAGTCTCGCTACCTTAAATCTGGGTTTGTTAAGGAGGGCGGGCAGCACAATAGTACACACAGAGACGGTGTTTGGGTACAGTAGGGGGTATTTATTACTAATCTAAAAACTCACATTACTACTACTGATGAGATCAGTGGTCTGTCCATTTAACAACTAGCGTTGGAAATGTCAAAGGTGACAGTTCAAAGGTGATATATAAATCACTTGTAAGGCTGATCCAGGGGAGACCACTGGTAACTGTTGTATGTACTACAAACCGAAAACACTACGAATGAAATTCCCCAAAATACCCAATTTCAGTTCAATAGCTGACATCTCATCTTTTTTGTCTCTTATCATGACATCAATAATTTCAACTTTCTGATCATTCAGAATGTCAACAACTTCTGTGTATTTGTCTTCAAGTATATTTACTGTTGACACTGTATTATTTACTTTAGATTCTAGCTGGCTGAGTTGGTTTTCAAGTAATTTGTAATGTCCTTGAAAAACTTTGCTTACACTCACAGATGGACTATTTGGTGTTGACTCAATCTTTTTCATTAGTAACTCTTCAAAATGTTCTTTCTTCTCTTCCCTGGTTTCTTTTCCACTCTTGCCAACTTTATATGCAGGTTGATTTACTCTGTCACTTCCTTTTTTGTCAATAGGTGTGATATCAGATTCACACCTCCTGTTAGCCTCAGCTGTAACAGACTCACTTGTTTGTTTTGGTAATGAGTTGCTGGCATGTATGTTTCTTCAGATTTCTAACTTCAGTACAGAGTAACGTCGGTACAGACTATTATTCACAGATGATTGTACATTGAATAAATACTATATCATTTTAGTAAAATGAAGCAAAATAACACTGAAGACATGACCGTCCTTATTATTTATACTCAACACAGTATACAAGTCAAGTTTGAGTTAATCTGACTTGAATTGATTGAACTGAGCTCTATTCTCTCTTACGTAACAGTTTGAAATTATTCATTATCTGACACTCTTTATGAGTTCTATGATATCAGAGGTTAATATGTTTGGCCATTTTTAGTGTATATTTATAATAATGCAGCAAATCTACAGTGTTTTATTAACCAAAACTGTTTTTCGCGTTTTTCTCGAGTTGAAGTTTTGACTGAGTACGACTCATTGGGACCGCCGCCAAATCAAGTGCGTTCGGACTAGGACATTCAAACTCGCAGTTATCGTTCAAAAGATAATGATGGTGCGAAATATGTCTTGGTTTTTAAAGAAAATGCTTTGTCACAGAATAATAGTCTGTTAAAGGTGCCAAGTATGAAATAATTTGGGGACAAAAAACAAACCTGCATAGAAATCGGAATAATAGGTCTTTTGATTACCGGGAACACATTTCAATGGACTTGATTACGGACAATGCATGACGTAAATTTCACCAGGAAATTCCGCAGTGTGCTCTCGCAATCGCGGACTCAGAGTATTTGCTATGTCTGATTTTATAGAAGTGAAATCATTTTTTAACATTCTGTTACCATGTGTAAACACGAATAATCGGGCATGAAAATGTCTTGGGAGAAAATGTCAATCACATTTCGACCCCGAGAATTGCACCTAGATTGTGGTCACGTGACTCGCGTAACAACAACAACAACTACAGTACGCACTGTGATCGCACTAATAGCGGTTGACATTTTTGCAAGGGCATCCATCACTCTGATCATGTCAGCGTCAAGGAGCTTTCTTCCAGTCCTTCCTGCCTCTCGGCGGTTTGTCGCTACAGTTGCCGCAATAGTAAACAATACACCGCCGTCAAAGACGACGAAGGCGGGCCAGAATGAAGTTGAGCAAACCCCGGCAATACCTGCACCGCCACCGCAAGTGAAGCCGTTTGGAGCTATCCCGTCCCCGGGGTTCTTCGGTAATTTGGTGGCAATTTTGCGAAGTGGGATTCGTCTGTCTCACCTTGTAGACGTGAGTATTTCTGTTTATTTACTTATTAACAATACGCAACAACAACAACAGTACTACTTGTTAGCCCCTAAGTATAAATTTTAGTAACAATTCCCAAAACAAAGATATTAAGAACCAAACTAGGACCGGTGGAGTTTCGATTTGTCGTAGAGTCTTTTGGGTGGAGAGATCAAATCTCCTTTGTCGGGTTCAACACCGTCTTGTTTGTTTTTACGTCGGCCACACGGTGTAGTAATTTCAAGTATGACGCCACTAGCAGTACGGTAGTATATGGTTTTTGATGTTACATTTCTGATCATTGTGTGAAAAAAAACTGTTTCCGATAGTAGGTTTGACTTGACTTGTGCAGCAGGCTGACAATATATGTATAAATTCTCCAACACCAGGTGTTTGGTGTACAAATAAGGTTGACTTAAATAACAAAATCATTATTTTTATCATATTATGACATAAAATATTGTCGCTGAAACATTGTTTCCCTAAACTGTCATTGGTGTCTTTTTTTTTTGTTCTTAAATCCAAATTTTTATTTGTAATTCATTTTTGTTGGTTTCAGTTTGAAAGGCATCAGAAATTTGGACCAATCGTGAGAGTACACATGGGTGACATGGTAGCTTGTCAGGTCTCTGCTCCACACCTCATTGAAGAAGTTTTAAGAAACGAAGGAAAATATCCTAAAAGATTTGAAATAATACCATGGAAGGAATATCGTGAAAAAAGAGGTTTATCATATGGATTGTTGACTGCGTAAGTCTGATATAAATGTATTTATTTATTTATTCATTGAATTTTCATTTTTCTTATTCAAATTTTCAGTAATTTAAATATTTGATATGTTAAAGCAGCTTTTCAACTTTACAAAAACCTGAATGACATTAAGTATAACAAAGTTTCTAATTGAATTTCATGGAGGCATGAAAGTTTTTTGTTTTTTTAAATTTATCAAATATTTATAAAACATTCACCCTGTAAAACCATCACGCTTCATGCAAATCCAATGAAAATGTTATCATTGGATAGAAAAAAACATGTTGTAATCCCGTTACCCATAATTTTTTGCAGGGTTCTCTTGATTATTGGCGGATTCACTGCAATTCATCCATTAACACATCGTGCTTGGTCATGAAATTCACTATATTACATTTTCATATCTACCATATTGTGTTAATAATTTTAGGAATATAATAATTATTTAATTAAATGGATTCTCCATTAATAATTCAGAAAAAAAAAAACGTAGCTTGTTATAAAGGAAGTTTAATTTTTTTAATGTATCCATATTCGTTCTATTTAAATATATTTAAATAGACTTTTCAAATTGGAGGGTTTGGTGTTCATAAATAACCATAAAACTAATTTTTCGCCTCGCATATGCCTCTAAAGGAGATGACCCCCAGACAAAATTTGTTGCTATCATGATGCTTATTAGTTAAAAATGTGAACTTCTCATTTTTCATGAGAAATGTAAATTATAAAATCACACTTTTAATGACAAATTTAATGACAAATTTAAAATAAATAAAAAATCTGTGTGTACATCAATCTTGCAAAACAAAAATTTCATTGACTCTAGAGATTTTGTTTGTTTCTTTCAGTGAAGGCGAAGAATGGCACCGTAACAGAAATATTCTGAGTAAGCGAATGCTTCGGCCGAAACATGTGTCAAGCTATACTGGTATTCTCAACGATGTTTCATTGGACCTTGTCAGTCGCTTTCGAGATATTAGAGATGAAAACCAAAAGATACCCAAGATTGATAACGAACTTTACAAATGGGCATTTGAATGTGAGTTATTTTATTCAGTTTTCATTTGTTTTTATAAGTTTGTCAAATTTAAATATTGAAACAAATGATTGATGTTAAAACCATGTGTTTAAAATTCGTGGTTGCGTGTTAATCTGTTGGCTGACTGAAATTGTAGTGTGAAGTATGAGATACTTCGAGAGAGGTACGGTAACAGTTACTGTAAAATGACTAATTTTCACTTGGTTTAAATTTTGCTGATTTATCATTTCAGGCATATTCACTTATTATTTAAATTCATGGTTTTATTATTCAGATAATGTGTTCTATGCTCAATTTTACATATTCACTGGGTTTTAATTGAATGCATTTTCCCGTCAGCGAAATAAGCAAAATTAAAACCCAGTGAATAATTAATCCTTTCACAGTATGGCACTGCAGTGATTGATGTTTATGAATAGGGAAAGTTGCGAAATAACTCAATGTATTTATTCCAATTTTAGAATACACAATGTCGCTATATAGTTTAGTGCTATTTATCAAAAACGAGTCTGACCTTATTTAATATTATTTCATATAATTTTTTATTTTACAAATAATGACTTTGCTGTATAAGTCAAGCATAAAACCATATTCTTGGAGAAAACATCACTTATTTGGTAGTTATAGTTATGGGTATAATGATTTGTACACAAATTATCACAAAAAGTGTTGAATGATTATTGCTTTTTGAACAAAATCTGTGTATCTGTGGCCAACTATGAACTTGACAAAACAATATTTATAATAGATATTTAGATAAATACAAGTCAAGGTGAGATGACTCTACTGGTCTACCTGAATAAACAACAAATAGTGGCAATAAGCATGAAGGGCAATAAACTTTACAACGGTTACTAGAGGTCATTCACCTTTGTGTTGTGCCCCGAATAATTATAAACCTAGATCAACAGGAACTGTGTATTCAGATTAAATAGAAAAAAATCACCATTTACAGAAATTTCTGTTGCTAAAATAACCTAGCTGTGATGAAGTTAAAATCTTAATCTGAAGTGAAGTAGTGTTGAAAGGTCAACAAACTTTATTCATTGGGTTTCATAGGTCAGGGCTATGTCAGTATTATAATGGATTCGTTGAAAAACAAAATAACCTGCTTTCTATTCTTGGTGAAATAAATCACGGTCACTTGATAACAACTACATGGTCAGACCCAGAAAAAATATGACATGTTTCCATGCCAACAATTATTTGTTTGTTTTTCAGGGGAAAAAAAAAAAATATTTTTAAGAAAAATTGAAATAAATCTCTATTTTTTCAATCAAATTATGATAAAACTAATAAACTGTGTGCATGCATGGATTTTTTAAAAACAAATTAACCAGAAACATTTTTCTTTTTTTTTGATGTTCACACTAATTTAACTATTTGATTTGCTCGTCATAGTGTACTTTCTGAAAGACAAAAGAACCCAGTAGTTTTGACGTTGTCTCTTGGTAAAAGTGATTTCCAGACATAATGTGATATTTCATTACTAGCTGACAGCTTTAATTCAAATTCATTCGACTAAATACAATTTATTCACAACATGCTGCAACCTGGCAAGAAGGCAGAATATACTTTTTTTTTCACTACTGAGTGTGCATCCGACAACAAGAGTCAAACCCACAATCCTTTGTAGATATGCTAACAGTTAGTTGACCATACCAACCAAAGTTTTAGCATTTAACCTGAAGGATGTAAAGATCTTTTCACCTAATAAGATTGATGTGAACTTTTCCATTAGTCGTTGATTTGGCACTTGTGTCACCCTGAAAATTACAGGTGCCTTTGGCTATTCCATATCATATGAATTAAATTAAATTAAATTTGTTTTCACCAGAAAAAATAAAACTATGTACATAAAATAATAATAATAATTTACAAGTTTTTACCTGGTGTGGAACAAAAATATAGTTTGCTTAAAACTAGTCAAGTCTGCGCCCCAATTCTAATAAGACGAATCCAGTAAAAGCATCTAGTAGAGGCTTATAACAATTGTTTGAAAAATATAAAAATAATAATGTAATAATGATACTTGTAACAATAATAATTATTGCAATAAATTGTAAATAATTTTAAGATGAATATCACTACAAAATATGGGTTACATTACTAAAATAGAGTATGGCACAGACTGTTAATTGGTTAATATATATTGTTTTAATTCTGTTTTGAATTTACCTCTATTTTTCATTGTTTTGATTTTATTTGGCAATGAATTCCAATGAGTAGCTGCTGCATATTTCAAATTATGATTATTGATATGTACATGTACATGTACATGTACATATCTTTGCTGTCTTTAAGCTTGAACTGGGTTCTTGGAGTACACTAAATTTGTGCCTTCCATGTTGATACAGTGGCAATTAAACATATGATTGGCATTAGTTGTGAAGAATCGACCAATCAGGCCATTGCTTACTACCGGTAACTCATTCAATGAGCTAATTTGCATATTTAACTTATTTTAAGGTTTTTTTAAATGAAGTCAGTGGTCACCATGCAGCACATTTTCAAATTTCATGTAAACTATGTATTTCACCTACGACGTATATACGCTGCTATGGGTCCCATATTGAACACGACACTTTGTTTTGACCACCGCCTATTATTAAATATAGTATCTCCTGCACTATTCGACTAAAATGACATTTAAAACAACAAATTTAAAAGACATATTTTATTTTTTTTTACACCTGTGTGCGAAGCATGAACTTAAATTTGTTGTTACTGCTTACTTTATAGCGGTTTGTTCAGTTCTGTTTGAAACAAGAATGGGATGTCTTGGCAACAAAGTTCCTGCAGATACCCAGAAATTCATCGCAGCTATAACTCAGATGTTTGTCTCACAGGGTTGGCTATTTGTGTTGCCTCTTGCACTTCATAGAAACTTAAAGAGTAAACCATACACAAGACACATGGAAGCTTGGGATACGATATTTGATGTAGGTTAGTAACCATGGTAATGAGATTGATTGAGAGCATCATCATCACATTGTTTTGTTTTAAAAGTATAACATAATTATTTACTTGGAAACTAGCATCAACTATTCGTATTATTTACCTGGTGAAAAATATTTTTGGGAGAAAAACAGTTCGAAAAAATACATAAATTGACATTTTTGGAGCAATTTCCATGGCAACACATGTTAAAGAATTATTTCTAAAAAATAAATAGTATTTGCCAGAATTTGAACTTATATAGTATGGTACAGTAAAATACTTTATTTTCGCTATTTTTGCTGAATGATTCAGTTAAAATAAAATCAAGCGAATATTCTTTTTTTCTATATTATTATACATTCAACTCGTCAACAATCAGTGAAAATACATTCCATACAAAACACCCAAAAAGTCTTTTCAGCGAAAAATAATTCCATCTAAAATAACGTATTTTACAGTACATATATATTTTCGCCATAGAACTGATCAAACTGTTGAGATATGATGAAGACATTTTTACCATAGAGACCATTTACATAGATGTTTGGCCCATATATTTTGTGTTGAAAGTAATTAAATGACCAGATATTTTTATCTTGGTTTTGTGAACAGCCGCATAAAATAAAACCATGTTGTAAAAATCAAAGAAATCTAAAGATTTGTTTTAATGGTATTCAATTACATTAATAGTAAACGTGTAATTGTTAATTTGAATTGTTGCCATCATAAATTTCGCAATATGAAAATTTGACGATACATTTGGTGTAGGGACGACATTTTGCAATAGTCACTGTGACAACACAGCCCTGGTCACTGGTAGCATAGTGGTTGTTGCACCAGACTCATGATCGGTAGACCCAAGTTCAAATCCTACCTTAGGCTGAACATCAAAGGTCGACCCCTACCCTTGGTTTGTGTGCCACAGACTCAATGGGAAGGCCAATTCCAGTGGGTCCACAGGTGCTTGTGGTTTGACTGGGCCTGGTTGACACCAGGATAGCGCATTACAAATTGCCATTTGACAGAGAGATGGCCACAAGGCCCTATCATGTAGTCCCAAACATGAATATGACTTCTGTGGCAAAATGCACTATGTGTCGTCACTTGCACTTGCAATTTGCACATACAAAAAAAAAAGTCAGGAGAGACAACAGTGACACTCAATGTCCGGAACTGTCGCCTGGCAGAAAAAAAAAATATTTAAAAAAAAAAATAAAATGTTCTGTGCTGTAGCTCCACCAAGAGAATATATACTTCTATGGAACAGATCGCTACAAATAATTTAAAATTATTTTGTTCTTTATTAATAGCAACAAGGCTGGTGCAAACAAAAATTAAAAGCATTTTTAAAGAGGACGAACTTGGAAATAACAAAGATACGAATGAAGAACATGAAGCAGAATTTCTGACTTATATCCTGTCAACTCAGAAATTATCTCTTGAAGAAATTATTGGAAACATCACTGAAATACTCTTAGCAGGTGTTGACACAGTGAGTTTATGCATGTGATGTTTTTCAGCTGGGTATCCTCATAATAACCTTATTATTATACATTTTTTCCTTCCAAGGATACATCATGTGAATGCCGAAATCAGCGAACTTCTTTGTGTGGAGTCCGGTTAAACCATGGTGGCAGCCATGTTTGTTTTTGTTATTAGAGGACACTTACGCACGTACTCGTTCTATATTTGGAATTTGCATTTTCTTATATGGTAGGATGAAAATACCACATAAAACACCGCAAAATTACGGCACGCTGTAACTTATGGCGTTATGGTGACAGATGTATAATAAATATATATATGCAGAATACATGTATGTACAGTGCTTATATGGGTGTTTTAACTCATTTGTTAACACAGTTTTGTGAAATATTATGTGTTTTTATTTGTTATATAGACATCTAACACCATGATGTGGGCTTTGTATGAACTTGTCACCAATCCAGATTGTCTTAACAGACTTGTGGATGAAGTTGATACTGTTTTGAAAGGAAAAGAACTTACACAGGAACAACTGCCGCAAATGAAGTATATGAAGTGTGTAATTAAGGAGACTCTCAGGTACTAATAAAAGGAAATTCCAAGTACATCTCATGCGATCCATTGGTTTTTTTTCAAAGTCACAATATTTTCCAAAATATGTGTGTCACCAAAATCAATCTTGTTTAATAGTTTACATATAATAATTGATAATGTAAGTTTAAAGGGCGGTGGTCGTCGCACAGCACGTGTTTGAATTTCATGTAAACAAACAATGTATTTTACACGCACAGGACGCAGCGCAATGACCACCGCCCTTTAAGAATTATATGGGCAAAAATTATTTTAGTTGTTGTTGTTGATATAAGAAAATTGTTAATGAAGATGACAGACACTATGTCATTTGACTATCATAATCATTGATGGGCATGATGGTGAAAAGTAAAGATGGTTGAGTCTGTTAGTCACTGAAGTAGAAACATTTAAGACAAAATAATTAAGCCTGCATTGAATGTAAAAAGCAACATGGTACACACATTAAACATGATATCTTGATGCATGTCTTTTGTGTTTGTATGTGAGTTTTGTATTATACATACTGTAGAATACTTTATTTCCACTTGGAATTTATTTTCGCTGAAGGGATGCTTCAGTGAAAATAGATATATCTTTTTTCTTATATTTTTATATTCAACTCATCAAAAATCAGTGAAAAAAAAATTCCATACAAAACACACAAAAAGCTTTTTCAGTGAAAATTAATTCCAACGAAAATAAAGTATTCTACAGTAGTGCAGAGATTCAAGAAAGCTGATACCTACGTCCTCTGAGCTAATGTATACTGATGGTCCAGCACCTGAATGACTGGATTGATGTGGGTGACTTCTTCTCAAAAACCGCTGAACTGTTTGACTCAAGTATGCAAATTAGTTTCCAAAAACTATAAATGACCACTACTATGACACTATTTGATCTATTGTGCTGATATTGATAGTACACATGTATTGAGTTGAGTTGACAAAATCTTCAACTCCCTATTTTTGGCAAATATTTTGAATGAATATGTTTAGTAAAAAATGCTATTTTCGACTTCTTCTTGAAAACTACCTGCTCAATTGCTTTAATACTTGGTATGCTAGTACCATGGGTAGACCTCTGTCAGATTTGTTCATTTCATGGTGATATTTCTTCAAATTTCTAATTTAAGCGAATATTATTTAGATACTTGGTTTGGTTGATAACAATTTGATAACAATTCAAATTGCCATAGTAACAATCATATAAACCAAAGTGGTTTTAATAGAACATTGTGCTAACAATAACCATAGCAAATCACTAAATTATATCACCATATCCACATTTTTTTTTGAGGTAGATACTTTCCCAAATCGGTGAAGCTATTTAAACTATGAGGTTACTTGTATTTGGAAGTGGTAAATTATTAACAACTCTGAAGGGTAGACCAATTATGCAAATTTTTTTCTCCCTTCACCAGTTAACTACCGATATCTCAAAAACCGCTAATCTAATACAACTGGGTATGTAGATGTTTGGAAATAATGCTACCGGGTAGACTTGATAATTTTTTTGTAGAAATCCACTAAATCTGAATCTATTAGCTGGATTATAGCGATTGGTTTGATCATCAAGTCCTTTATTTATTCGTTCAACAAACTCTTGCCTGCGGTGAGTGCAGTAATTTGCATATGACAAGATGTGTATTTGATTGCTGTGTGCAATGCACACAATGGGAGTTGTTGCAGTGTAGTTCATCTGTTTGTCTGTATTTATGGATATCTGTATATGTGTGTCTGTTTCACCAATATCTCAAGCACTAATCATTGGTTTTTAATGATGCATTGTGATAATGTATCTGTGTAAATCTGTGCATGTTACTGATATATAATAGTGTTATACACTACCCTACTCCAAAATGAAATGCCATTATTTTTTGGCCAAAACGATCCGTGGTACAACGTGGCCATTCTAGGATGTAAACTCGTTCTTTCAAATGAATAAATACAACATTAGTATATTAGGCCCATTTAAATGATATTTCAATCGCGTGCATGCGACGCAAATCTTAATATGTTGCCTAATATTTTGTTTTTTTATTATTTCCATGAGATAGCAAATTTAGTATTTTTTGGCAAATTTTTAATTCATTATCAGTATCAGTGTGTTTAAATTTCTACGAATTAACATTATGGCATTTTAAGTCTGTCAAATAACGACCAAATAAATACGTGGAATCATTAATTACTAAGGACCTGGCGTAGAATTGGAAATTACTCCAAATAAACAAATGTCCAAGTCGGGAACAGGATAATAGTATATTTGGTTATTGATGAAATAGTAGGGCGCCACCAGACGGTCTGGCTTAACAAGTGCGTCGT